GGTTGAACACACAACCGGACAACCAGACTCAGCATATTAGGCTTTTATTATATAGGACTAGAGGCCCGGTGCACAAAAATTTGTGCACTCGGGGGGAGTCCCTCAGCCTGGCCTGTGCCCTCTCACAGTCTGGGACCCCTTGGGGGATGACCACCTGCTGGCTTAGGCCCGTTTCCTGGGGGGATTGAGCCTAAACTGGCAGTCAGACATCCCTCTGGCAGCCCAGGAGCCCTTGGGGGATGTCCACTTGCCAGCAGGGAGCAGGCCTAAGCTGCAGTCGGGCATCCTTAGTGCTGCTGAGGAGGTGGGAGAGGCTCCCACCACCACCGCTGTACTGGCAGCTGTCAGCCTGGCTTGTGGCTGAGCATAGCTCCCCCTGTGGGAGCACACTGACCACCAGGGGGCAGCTGCATTGAGCATCTGCCCCCTGGTGGTCAGTGTGTGTCATAGTGACCAGTGATTCCCAGTTGTTCTGCTGTTAGGGTCAATTTGCATATTACCCTTTTATTATATAGGAGTGCCTGGCCAGCCTGGGTGAGGGGCTGATGGCTGTTTGCAGGCTGGCTACAGCCCCTTCAGGGTGGGGATCCCTGCTGGGGTGCCTGGCCAGCCTGGGTGAGGGGCTGATGGCTGTTTGCAGGCTGGCCACAGCCCCTTCAGGGTGGGGGCTCCTGCTGGGGTGCCTGGCCAGTCTGGGTGAGGGGCTGAGGGCCGTTTTCAGGTTGGCTAAGCCCCCTAGCAGGGACCCTCACCCCATGAGGGTGTGGCCAGCCTGGTTGAGGGGCTGATGGCTGTTTGCAGGCTGGCCACAGCCCCCAGCCACCCAAGCTCCCAGTGGAGGCTGGCTGGAAGCAGGTATCTGGGATTTATTTGTCTTCTATAATTCAAACTTTGTTGCCATGAGCGGAGGCCACAGCCAGCTCAGGGCTGGCGGGAAGCTTGGCTTCCTCCATCGCCTGGGCAACCAAGCCTCCTGCTTGCTCCAGCTCCGTGGCTGCCGGCCACCATCTTGGTTGGGTTAATTTTCATATAGTCACTCTGATTGGCTCGTGGGCGTGGCTTAGGGCATAGCAAAGGTACGGTCAATTAGCATCTTTGTCTTTTATTAGTGTAGACAATCCACTGTTAATGTATGCCATGAGCAAGGGGTAATAGTTGTATGCTGATGAAGACATGGGGTTTGGGGTAAGGGGTGGAGGTAGAAGAGGGTATAGGGAGGATAAATGGTGATGGGGGAAAAAAGACATGGGGTTGTCTGCAGTGTGGAGTTATAAAGGCTGCAGGCAAACCTTTGGGATTGGAAGGATGGGTAAAGTGAAGAGAACTATATTGTCTCTTCTAAACAGCCTGGTTTTAACCCAATCTAAGATTCAGTTAGTAGGTGAATTTAACCCTTTACATTTATTGTAATTCCTGTTTGTATTTATTTCCTCTACCTTAGTTTTTGTGTCCCAATTCATATTTTCTTTTTTGCCCCATTTCCACTTTGGGCTGATCCAGTGCTGCTTGGGGAACTATTATTTATTGAGCACCTACGGGCTGCTAGGGGCTTTGTAGTTGATTTTCTTTATTCTCACAACAAGCTTAGTATATTATATATCCTAATTTTATAGATGAGAATGGAAACTCAGAGGTTAAATTAAGTGTCTTTCCTAAAGTCACAGTTTATAAAAGGCCTCATGAATGAAATCACAGAAAGGTGGGTGGAAAGTTGGGCTCCCTATTTGCCTAAATGGTCATTGGCTGAACCCCTGTTCTTGTCTGGAATATTAAAGCAAAATAACCTACCTGGGATTGGTAACTGGAAACTGCTCTAAGGGTCATCTACTGGATGGAAGTCCAATAGGAATGGCTGATACCTGACCCCAGCCTGCTCAGATCTCAAGCTGGAGGTAGAAGGCAGGCATACAAACAGCTTTGCCATCTCCTAGTACGTCTCTTTATCTGCCCAGCTTTAGAGTTTAGTGCCTGGCAGCAGTAGGAGAAAGACAGCAGGAAAGAGGTGATACTTGAAATCAATTTTGATAGAAATGAGGACTTAACAGAAGGAACTGAAAGCAAGCGTATTCCAGGCAGCAGCAGACTGGCTTAAGCAAGAAAAGAGTGAGGGTAGGAGAGAAAGAGTTTTTTGGCTGCACAGATTCCTGAAATGTCCTTTCCTGATTGAATATTCCATACTTGTGTCTTGTTCATTTTTGTATTCTCAGCCTTTGGCTATGAGGTGATATTACTCCTATGCCAGTAATGAGGACAGGTTCAGAGAGGCCAAGTGGCTGACCCTAAATTATACAGTAAGTTATATGCACACCTGATATGATTGCTGTAAGTAATTTACAAACTTTGGTAGTTAAATGGTAGTTATTAGTGACATGACATGGGACCCACTTAGCTGATCATGACATCAGTGGTCAAAACAGACCTAAGAGTCACCATGCCCACTGCTATTTCTTGTACACTTAATTGTGTGCTAGAACTTGTGCTAAGTAAGAACTTAGCTATTTTTCATGATAACCTTGTAGGGACTTGAATTCCTGTTTTACAAATCAAGAAACTAAGGCTCTGAGAGATACCACGAGAGTTGGTTTTATACTAGGTAGGTCTCTTAACCCCAAATCCAAGCTCTTTCCACACCCACAGGCCCTGGTTTAGGAGGAAGGGAGCCTGGTTTCAGACCCTCCAACACTTGGAGCAGTAACTCTGGAACTGTAACCCAGGTCCCCTAAAGGCAAGACTGCCACCAATGAGTGCTGCCCACAGTCCCCACTTCAGCCACTCTACCATGGTAATCTTTGGGATAATGACTTCTCAGTAGAAAAGAGGAGGAGGCCACTGTTCATCTGAGCCAGAGAGGTTAAATACCTTAATTTGCACCACAGCCATGTTGCATCCTCCAACGGGCCCGGCTCATGTGCAAGCACACTCCGTTCCCTCAAGTCTGTCTCCTCCCAGACACAGGAACTGCCTTTCCAGATGTTCCCATCTGTGAGATCCCATGTAGTCCCCCCACCTCTGGCCCCCTAGGGATTCTGGTTTATTACCCAGGCTTTTCCCCCCCTTTCCTTTTTTGGAGATGTCCTGCCAATCTGGTCTTAGCCTTAACTCTGATCTCAGGTCTGCTAATCTGTCACATGGGTAACGCTGACCAGGCGCTCATAATGAAAGATGATGTGTCTCCTAAGCCCCTTACCCTGACTCCTGATGTCTGGGCTGTGCCATCAAAGCTTCCTGGGGAAAGAAGGAATTGGCCAAGGGTCCTGTACTATCTAGCCTGGCCATGGCTGTTTTTGTTTTCTCAGGAAAGGGAACCATTCCTAACAACTGTTTTAGCCTCTACCAGGGCCTATGGTCATGGTCCACTGGACCATTAGTTCTGTAAGGAGAGGATCCATATTGGACTCGTTCGCAATATTCACAGCACCTAGCACATTGTAAGTGCTCAGTACACGTTTGCTGAATGAATAAATGGGTTAGTCTTCCATGCAGTTATCTGGACTCAGCAGCTAAGTGGGGTTTTGGGTTTTTTTTAATCACTAACGGACTGGTTTGTTGACTTTGCATCTCGGGCTTCACCCCTGGGAGCCAAATGGTGCCTGGTTGGTGAGCAACGTCTGGAAAACACAGGAGTAGTGGCTGCAATATGTTCCTAATATTCTCATTAATGATGGCATTTATCAGTAGCAGCTGTAGTACAAGGTACAAAAGGTTCTTGTCCTATGGTCTTGCAGCCTAAGTGATAGTAAACAAAACAAGCAACTGGTAGCTCCTCCCCCACTCCCCCCCCCCCATATTTCTTATTAAGGCACAAGAAGCATCACTACCTCAGATTTATAACAAGAACATCAGGAATAATGGAGGAGCTTCCCATTTTATACACAAGGAAAAAGAAGCCCAGAGAAGCACAGACTTGTCCAGAGTGCAGAATTGTGTTACTAGCTTAGCCTGGAGCACCCATCTTTTTCCTTGTACTCTATCCAGGTGGTTCCCGCTCTATCTGGTCCAGGTTCTGAAGTTTGCCTCCTATTGCATACTGGCTATGTCACTGCAGGCACAGCCTGGGTCTTTAGTTGGAACAAGATCCTTGGAAAGGAGAGAGTTTTAAGGAATTTGAAAGATGAAAGATTGTGAATGGACAACTGGGCCAGGGGAGGTGGCTGTAGTTGTGCTGGCCCTTGAGCCCCACTGTCCTCACCTCCAAGGACAGAGATACATGGTAGCTATCAGGGCTGAGGCAACTGCTTCACATTTTTTCTGCCTCAGCTTCTAGAATCATTCTTGTACAGAGGCTTTTAAAAAATCATCATATGGCCCTGGACGGTATGGCTCAGTTGGTTGGACATCATCCCATGCACTGAGAGGTTGCTGGTTCGATTTCTGGTCAGGGCACTTGCCCAGGTTGTGGGCTTAATCCCTGGTCAGAGTGTGCAGGAGGCAGTTGATCGATGTTCCACTCTGACATAAAATCACCTTATGCCAGTTTGCAACTTCCTGTTTCTTGCTTGTAGTGATTCCTTGAGGAAGGGCTCCAGCTGCTGGGGTGCACTGACAAGTGGTGTCCCTGCTCTTGCAGCCCTTGTGCCACAAGGTGCTGGGAGTTTCTTTGTGACCCCTGACTTTGGTTGGGATCAAAGACCTCCTTCCCACCTCAATCTCCTTTCTCCCCAAAGCAGTATCCCAGGTGTTCCTCTTCCCAGGTCCGTCCAAAGATATGCTGCACTTAGCTTCTCACAGACTCAGATAACTTCTAAGAATGAAATTTCAGACAACAGCTTGGGACATTTTATGTGACAGGCCCCAATAATCCAGGACAAAGGTTGCTGCCTACTCACTGTTGACCTTAAAAGTAAAAGTTATTTTACCTGGCCGGGTATCTCAGTTGGTTAGAGCATCTCCCGAAATGCCAAGGTTGCGGATTCAATCCCTTCTCTGGGACATCAAACGAGTGGTACATCGAACCAATGTTTCTCTCCCTTCTGTCTCCAAAGTCAATAATTTTTTTTAAGTTATTTTATCAGCAAAAATGAGTTTATTTGGGAACAGCAGTGTTGAAAATCAGGGCAAGCAAACTATAACAAAAGCCATAGAATGAAGGAAAGGAACCGTATTTTATGGAGAAAAAGGAATTTGGGATAGGTTTTGAACAAAGGTCCATTGGAGAAAAGTGATTTCAGGGAGGTGACGGTTTCTCATTGGCAGAGTTGCTAGGGTAGTTGATTTCTTGTAGAAGATGCAATGAACATCTTTTCCTGTTGGGGCCTATAATTGACAACTCTTCCTGTAGTTGCCATGGAGTGTTAGAGCTTCCCTTTCTGGCCTCTGGACTCCCATTTTAGTGGTTTCCTTTTATTTTCAAATCACCAAGCTCACTGCCTGCTTCCTGGCTGACACTGAGGTGAGTGAGGAAGGAGTCCTGAACCCCTGCTTTTTACTTGGAGCCCCAACTAAAGGTTGTCAGGGTTAAAAATGCCTGGGGACCAATGGTCAGTATTTATTTAGCTTGGCAGTGGGAGAAACTCCTCCCAGTCCCCTGCACCTCTAGAAATCCCTGGAAAAAAGGGAGGAGTGGGCATAAGTGGCACCTTTGTTTGGAAGTCTCCTAAGGCATAGCCTTCTGGCTGTAGGGACCCATGGCATCGCCCAGTCACAAGCAGCCATCCCAGGTTTATCTGCAGATGCCCCCAGGACAGACAAACCAGTGAGATTGTGTATGGAGTTGTACCTTCCTTGTTTTTCTCGGGGGCGGGGGGTAGGGGGAGCTCCTTAGAAAGGGAAAGACTGAATGGTAGTTCCTTAATGTTTCCTTTCTGTCTGGTGGTCTGCATTCCCTGGATGTGGAGGCATCTTCGGGTGTTCTCAGGTTTAAAGGTAGGGGGCAGCACTGTCTCCAGCTGACCCGGAGAAACGCTTAAGAGGAGTATAGTTTTAGGGCCGGGATGATCGGGTTCCCCCCAGACCACGGAAATAGTGCGTGCGCAGCCTGCCGTACTTTCGATGTAAAGCGGACTCCTCGAAGGGAAAAGGATCTTTCTGGTCCTTTAAAGAAACAGCCACACACTTTCAATCGGCCTGCATGAACTATTTGGATTTTAGCCCAGCCCAAGCCACGTGCCCTTGAAGTCCCGCCTGCTAAAAGCTACGCCCCAACCTCAGTAGCCGCGCCCGCGCCCGCGCCCAGTCCTAAGAAGCCACATCTTACTAGAGATCACTTCCCTTCAGGGACCCCAGGGTCGAGGGGGAGGTCCTACCTGGAAGCCCCGCCCCGCTGACAGCTGGGAGCGGCGCTCAGCAGTTGGGATCGAGCACTCGGCAGGAACAGGTGCTGCGGAAGAAGCGGCACATGCAGGAGGCGCACGGGTCACAGCAGGGGGGCGCCGGCTGTTTGCAGCTGTCCCGGGTGGCTACGCAGGGATCCGGCGGCGGGGGCCGGACCCGCGTCACCTTCTTAATCGAAGCCTTTCTCTGCTGGGAAATGCCGGGGCTGTCCCAATCGCCCACTCCCGCCCCACCCGACCTCACCTCTGCCTGGGAATCTTTGGGCTATGGAGGCCACGGACCCGACATCCCCACCCACTGCCCACCACCTGCTCGACTCACCCCAGGGGGCCCCGGCCTGCTCCCTAATCATGTCCCACCGCCTCCATCCTCAGCAAAACTGACATGGCTCAGCCTGGCCCTCTTCGCTCCCTAAGGGACCCCACTCAACTCCACCGTTTTTAACTACCCCTTCTCCCTTTCTGTCCTCTCAGTTCTGCCTTCACAATAAATCCTGACTTTACCCACTTCTTCACCTCCGCTACCCTGGGCCAGGCCACTGTGTTCTGTGCTGCCCTGGGCCCCTTACAGTCCATCCTCCAGTGCTCCAAAGAAACCTCTCCGAAAACCTATGATGGCATCCCACTCTGGTTTAAAGCCCCCCAAATGGTTTTTCCTTGCACTTGCAATAAAACATAAACTTTACTTTGACCCTGAGCCTCTGTGTGCGCCCACCCCTCCCCTTAAGCCTTCACCACACTGCCCCACTGGCCTTCCTTATGTGCACCAAACCATAAAGTGTTACTACCGCAGGGTCTTTGAGCTGGATACTCCCTTTCCTGTGTCTAGTGCAACTGAAAAACTGAATTTTCAAATTTTATTCAATTTAGCCCTGGCTCATGTGGCTCAGTAGGCTGGGCATTGTCCTGTGCACTGAAAGGTTGCCCCTTCTATTCCTGGTTGGGGCACATGCCTGGGTTTTGGCTCCATCAGATGGTGAGGTAGCCAACCTCACATGAACGTTTCTCTCTTTTGCTCTCCCTCTAAAAAAATCAATAAAGATCTTCAAAATTTTTCATTTAATTTAAAACTGAAGTAGTGTAAAAATTTTTTGATAAACACTTTATTGTTTTTTAGGACTACGTTGACTTTGTTAAAAATTAACATCTGAATTAAGATGTGGCCCAGCCAGTGTGGCTCAGTAACCACTGAGCACTGAACTATAAACCAGGAGGTCATGGTTGGAGTCCCAGTCAGGGCACATGCCCACATCCCCAGTAGGGGTCATGTAGGAGGCAGCTGATTGATGATTCTCTCTCATCATTGATGTTTCTATCTCTCTTCCTCTCCCTTCCTCTCTGAAATCAAAAAGAAAAGAAAAGCATAATATTTTGGACATATTGGGTTAAATACAATATTAAAGTTAATTACATGTGTTTCTTTTTACTTTTAAAAAATGTGGCTGTTAAAACATTTAAAATTATATATGTGGTTCCCATTGTATTTCTACTGGGTGTTGCTGCTTGAGATGACTGAATTTTTCAGTCTGATGTTTAAATGCTTCCTTGCAGAGGTTTTCCTTTCTATCTCATTACCATGCTTTAATTCCTTTAGTGTTTATCATATTAAGAATTTATTTCACCTATTTATTGGTTTACTTGCTGTTTGCCTGTTTTCCCCACAAGAATGTAAACTCTATGAAAGCAGGGATATATCTCCTTGTTCACTTCCATATTCCCAGTACCTAGCATATAGATATATTTGTCAATTATATACTCTTATCTGTCAATCATTTGACTTGCTTGTTCACTTTACCTAAGGCCCAGAGAGGAGCAGGAACGTTCTCAAGATCAGACAGACAGTGCCAGCTCCTACCTCCTAAAGCCTAGTCCAGGGTTCCCTGGTCTGGTTACAGATGATCTGATTAAATGAGGCACACGAAGGAATAATGTGTGCATCTCAACAATGCCCTACTCCAGTGTTTCCCAAAGTGTGGGAATCTCTACCATAGTGATTTTAAATGGTGCATGAATATTAAATGATGCTGAATCCCAGTGAGAAAGGATTGTTTATTTTTTATCTTGTTCAACTTGAAAGGCTCAATATGGTCTGGTGCCAATATGTCCTTAATGCCTCCCCAATACTTTCTAATCTTCCTTTTAACACAGAGAACAAGCCTCAGATTTAGAGCCTTTGGCAGGCAATACCAACGGTGTTTTATTTTCATTTTACTTATTATTATTTTTAAATATATTTTTATTAATTTTAGAGAGGAAGGGAGAAGAAGAGACTGCAACATCAATAATGAGAGAATCATCGATGGGCTGCCTCCTGCACATCTCAAGCCTGAAACTCAGGCATGTGCCCTGACCGGGAATTCAACCATGACTTCCTGGTTCATAGGTCAATGCTCAACCACTGAACCACGCTGGCCGGGCTCATTTTACTTATTTTTATAGTTACCTTCTACTTATGACAAATGATACGAGTTTTCTAACACAGTAATATAATTTATAACATTTTAATTTTAAACGTATTTAATAAATAGATGAAACTCAGATGTGGCAAAAGTTGTGGAAATGGTTCTGAAATGACTGAGGTTTAGGAAACTTTGCATTCATCCAAAAGAATAAGTGATGATAAAATTTCAGGCAGGGGCTAGCTAGTATAGGAAGATGCTTTTCACATGTACGTTTTTTTTACTCAGTGAACCTCAGCTCCTGGGGCTTCTGTGAAGGTCTGGTTCAGGACTCAAGGGCAGGAAGCCTTTAGGTAGCTGTCAGCTACTTTTTTTCATGTAGGTCTGAAAAATCATTTAGTTCCCACCCAGAGCTTGGGGGTCCTCTCCTTTTAAGTCCAGTCCCACCCCCACAGTGAGAACTCCCAGGCCTACCTTGGAAGCTGTCTTCTTTTCTGCCTCTTTTCTGCTGATCTTTTTGGACTTCTTGTTTAGCCCTTTAAAGAGAGAAGAGAGCAAAGACAGATGTTTCTGGGGCCCTGAGCTGCAGTGAAGTGGGAAGTGCTGAGGGGGCTCCAGGAAGTCCCAAGGTGGGGGAGAGGATGAGAGGTTGGCTGGATGAATCACATCTTGGTACTTAGGCCATCAGGTTCTTTTTTTGGCCATCAGGTTCTTGTTAGCCTGGCTGCTGACCTGGAGCCAGGGACTGAGAGCAAAGTGTCCTCTGAGGGAAGGCAAAGGGGAAATTCCAGAAGGACCTGTAAAATGGACTCAGTGTCTTATACATGATGGACCTGGGTTTCCTATAGTCCTATTTTCCATTTCTCGGAGCTTTGGAGTCAGGCAGACCTGATTTAAATACAGTCTTTGCAATATAGCATCCGTGTAGCCTTAGCCAACCTACTTATCCTTCTTAAGACTCAGTTTTCTCATCTGCAAACAGGGTACTGTAATACCTACCTTGCAGGGTTGTCTTGAGGATAAGTAAGGTATGTCTGTAAAGTGGAAAGTCTGGCACATCGAAGGTGATCAATCAGTGCTGATGTACTTCAACCCCTTCCCTTGCCTTACTTCATCTAGAATATCCTCTTTTGCTAGTGAGAGGCAAGGCAGTAAGGGACATTAGTTTTTGTTTGTTTGTTTTTTAAATATATTTTATTGATCAGAGAGGAAGGGAGAGGGATAGAGAGTTAGGAACATCGATCAGCTGCCTCCTGCACACTCCCCAACGGGGATGTGCCCGCAACCAAGGTACATGCCCTTGACCGGAATCGAACCTGGGACCTTTCAGTCCGCAGGCTGATGCTCTATCCACTGAGCCAAACCAGTTAGGGCTAGGGACATTAGTTTTTATTTTAGGTTCTGAAGTTAAACAACTGGGTTTAAATTCTGGCTCTGCCAGTTAAGAACTGTGTGATCTTATGTTGCTACTTAGCTTTCCTAAGACACAATTTCTTCAACTGTGAAATAGGAGTAAAAATAGTACCTCACCTCACAGCGCCTAGCACACAATAAGTACCAGTATGCTTGTTATTATTATTTTCAGATGGAGTTAAAACAGATCTCTGGTACTAGCTGTAATAGCCCTGATACATTCCCTGAGCAGTCATTCTCAACCCTGGCCTGACAGGACTGGTTCATCCCAGACTTGGTTAAATTCAGCAGGATTTCCTAAAGTTTGTTACCACTGATAGGCGTGCTGTGACTCAATAAGTTTCAGAAATGCTAAGTTAAACTAAGTTCACCAATTGTCTCAACTCTCCAAGCCTCTAACATGCCAAGCTACATTTTAGGTAGGGTGGCATGCAGGGCTTTCCTAAACCAAATGAGTCAAGGGACGCTTTATTTGTCCAGGATTATTTCATGGGATGAGCAAGAAGGAGCCTTGACCTGCAGTGATGGCGAATCTTTTGAGCTCGGCTTGTCAGCATTTTGAAAAACCCTAACTTAACTCTGGTGCCGTGTCACATATAGAAATTTTTTGATATTTGCAACCATAGTAAAACAAAGATTTATATTTTTTGATATTTATTTTATATATTTAAATGCCATTTAACAAAGAAAAATCAACCAAAAAAATGAGTTCGCGTGTCACCTCTGACACGCGTGTCATAGGTTTGCCATCACTGATCTATGGGAATGGATCTTAGTATCAGCCTGGGGAGCATGTTTGGCATCCTGAAGCCCCTTCTCAACGGCCAGAACCCAGAAGCTGGGCCCAAGGCCAGGCTACTTACCCATGATAGAGACAGAAGGGGAATCCAACAGGTTCATGGAGGAGTTGCTCCTCAGGCTTCTGTCATTGGTGGGCATCTCTTCAGGTGCCAGGTGGCTATAAGCAGTGAGGAAGCACAGGCAGACCAGCAGGGTGGCCAGGAGTAGGCGGGTGACATCCATCTGAGGAGGCCTGAGAGGGACAGGGAAGGTAGTCAGGTGATGTGACAAGAGAATGTGCCCTCCTGCTTTCTTTGTTTCTGTGGGCTGGTGCTCTGACCCGGTTCCAAAAGTGTCTCAGGGGAACTGGAGGACCAGCAAGGCTTAAGACAGGGAAGGGGAACGGATAAGGCTCCTAAGACTCGGTGAGAAAGATGCAGGGATAAACGGCTCCTTCAGACAAGTGTATGTCGTCGCATAAACTATATTCCCACACCTAGAGGGAATGAATGCAGGTGTGGTTTGAGTCAGGAGAATGAACCAATGCACATAGGCTAACTGGATTTGTTGATTTATTGATCTATCACTAGCTGGATTATGATGAAGCAGACGGATCCCAGAGTGGATTTCTTCCCTCGTTTGTGCGGGTTTGTCTCAATGAGGGCTTCAGCAGCATCTTCATATTCTCTAAATGCAGCATCTCCACCCAGGCCCTCCCTGGGCATGTTCTCTGTGGTCTGGGAAGAAGCTGAGGCTGCTTTTCTAAGGTTCTGTCTGCCCTGCCATAAGGCTCTGTGGGTGAGAAGAGAATGTCTGTTCTTGCTGGTCCCGCCCACTCCTTGACTCCCTACAGCAGCCTAGCCAATGTCTAGCCTATTCCTCCCAGCCTTCAGCTTGGCTGGAGTAAAATTTTCTTTATGTCTGTTATATTCCAGGAATAGGGGATCTAAACAGTCAGCCCTCACCCTCATTCTAAACTCCTTGAAGTCCATCCTCTCCTCCTCTCAGCCCTAACGACATGTCTCCTGATTTCTTTAGATCCCTTTGTCATCGGGCATTTGCCTATCATGAACTGGCCACCATTTTTCTTCTCAAAACCTGGTAGGGAGTCAATGAAATGAACATGGGCTGGGAGTCAGGAGCTCTGAGTTCTTGTCTTGACTTAAGCATTAGTAAGATGCATGACTGGATAAATCCATTCTTTTTTATAGACTCTAAGTTCCTTGTTGATAAAATGAGAGGAGTGGGCTAGGTCAGTGATTTGCATTATTTAGCAGGGGAACTCTTTCTTCAAATAAACGCTGACTTACAGAATACTCAAATGTAAAACAGAAAGAGGCAATAAAGAAGTTTCTTAAGCAGCTCACATCTTTGTTGTGTGGTGGGTCAACAAAACTCATGCCCTAAAGCCTAAAACATCTCTTCAGGCCCTCAGGTTCTTACCTCATGCAATTTGATCTCTGAGGTTCTACTGCATATCAGCAATAGTTAAACAAAACAAACCTGTATCAAAAACCTGTATCAAAAACAAACCAGTCCTGGCCAGTTTGCTCAGTGGTTAGAGTGTCGACCCACGGACTGAAGGGTTGCGGTCAAGGGCACATACTAGGTTGCAGGCTCGATCCCTGGCCCTGGTTGGGGTGTGTGCAGGAGGTAACCAATTGATGTGTCTCGTATCGGTCTCTCCCCTTCCCTTCCACTCTCTCTAAAAATCAATGGAATTTTTTCCTTGGGTGAGGATTAACAACAACAAAAGGTTCCTTTGCTATATAAGCAACAATAAGTAATAAACTTAAAATACAATTTCTTAGAACCCAAGTAACTTAGTGGAACTATAAAACTACACTGAGCCTAGAAAGGGTGAAGTCTCAGTGGAATTAATCTTCTTTGTGTATTGGGAGAGGGCTAAAAACCAGTATACCTTGCACCAATCCTGGGGAGGATATGTATATTCTAAATGTAATATAGGTCCATAATACCTGGTTGTATTATAATCCTTGGAGTCAGATTTTTTTTAAATTCAGAATTTTGTGGATTGTGGGAAAACAATATCTATATACTTTATTAAACCCCATTATAAGGGGCCTGGGAGCATCCATGATAAAAATATTGATGCTTCTGTAGCAAAAGATGTGAATATTCAGAACAAACAGAACAAGCAAGACTGTGAATTGATTTACATACTCAGGTCAGGTTTGTTGCCAAATGATTTCAGGTAAGAACATTTTGCTGTCAGATGAATTACCAAAGGAAAATTAAAACCTTACAATTTTCAGAGTTTGGGGATTTGGAAATTTCAGGTAAAGGATTATGGACCTGTAAAAGCCCTCATTGCTGTTACTACTCAACATGGGACACACACTCCCTGCTATTAATACAGGATAATAATGCTGGCAGCAATGACTACCTGTGTAATGTTTCTCAAGAATAATTTGTCCTTCCACTCTGTAGTAGTGAGGCAGTTCTTTGATTTGTAGTGTCACTGATGACAAGTCCTCTTAAACTCATCAGCTGCTTTAAGTTACTGCTTAGCACTTAAGATGAATTTCTCTTCAGCATGGTGGATAGAAAGGATCCAGGAAGGGGAGTCAGGTCACCTGGATGTACTTGCCATTTAAGGGGCTGTGTGACCCTGCCTGTCTGGGCCTCTGGTTTCTCATCTGTAAAATGAGACAATATAGGACTATATAACTCAATACATTACGAGGCACAGAGTAGGAACTTAATAAAAAATTATTGAATAGAAGAATCTAAGTATCTTTCGGTTCTAAAACTCTATGAATTCATAATTTCTAATTCTAGCTTCCCAGGCTTTGGGGCAGGTGAGACAGTTGCACCAAGAAAGATTTTGTAAAGGCTACTTGTGAATCCTTAGGAGTTGAGGGATTTACAAATGCATGAGTGTGACTGAATCTGACTAAACTCTGTAAAAGAGGGTGTGGGAAGTCATGGCTAAATGCAATCAGCTTATGTACCTCAAGAGTCTTCTTGGTGTGTGTCCATACGTGTGCGTGTGCAAGAGAACTAATGTGTAAGGGCTCTGACTGAGGGAGTGTGGGAAACAGTGTCCAAATCATCTCTGAGTATGGTGAGGCGAGGAGACAGTGTATCAGTATACAGTGCACACTGAGCACTGCAGATATCCCCTTAGCGACGGCACTGGGATAGTCTGGTAACTTAATCCTTCAGGGTCAAAGCGTTGGTCCCCAAAGCAAAGGAAAAGATTATAATCTCCCAGTGATGGGGGATGACTAAAGTATAGGGAGAGATGGAAACTGAAGAAGAGGTGAAGGCAGCAGAGTCTTCTTGAAGATGGTGAACAATAATAGCTGCTGACCATACTAGATGTTAATGAGGTGCAGCCCTGATATCCTGCCCTGGGCTTTGCTTGGTGGCACCAGTGAGGGGAGCCAGTGTGTCTGGGCAGCTAGCAAGCTGGCATTGCAGGGGAGGCGACTGGGCTCAGTTGGCTTCCACCACTGGCTTCCAGTCCTGCCAAGCACCAATGGCCAGGGACTTGGGGACCTGGGTCCACTCATCCCTGTGTAGGAGAAAAGTGGCCAAAGGCGAAGTAATGCTCAAGAAGGGCCCAATGCAGAGGATCAACTCATATAGGCTAGTGGTAATGGAGGCAGACTCTCCCCTCACCAGTTTTTTGAACAACAAAAAACTTGGGAAGAAAAAGAAATTATAGCAGGGGGGGATCGTAACCTTGATGTTGTTTGCAAAACTTTCTGCATATGTGCATTTTTTCCTGGAAAGAAGGTCCATTGCTTTCTCTGAATCCATAAGGGAGTCTCTGGCCCCTAAAAAGTTCAGAACCACCCAGCCTCTGGGAGATAAAGTGGAGACCCTTTCTTTGTATATTATGTTCCTGCAACCTGAGTGGGGCTCATCCAGAATCACAGGCATATGAGAGCAGAGATGATCAGGTTTTTTTTTTTCTGTCCAGGCAATAACTCTATAGTTGGGCAAGTGTGCTTGTTAGATGGAGCACATCATTCTGAACTAGTGCTGGTTTAGAATATATTAAAGAAATATAACATTGAAGCAAACTGAAGAATATAAACAGTGTGATCCCACTTGTGAACAAATATAAAGACGCTCTCAAATGTGTTTATGCTTACACTAGAGACCCGGTGCACGAATTCGTGCATGGGGGCGGGGATCACAGGAGGTTGGCCGGCAGGCCCTGATCTAGTTGTGTAGATGTGCTGAGGTAGCAGCAAGCAAAGACCACAGACAGAGAGCCCCAAAATTACCTGAACACCAGCTATGCTCTGAGGTGGAAATACAGCTCTACTTTGCTTGCTGCGCTTGGGCTGCCTCACTCTCCCCAGAAGAGAGGTAGAGACATGCACATTTTCATGTACTTCAGTATTTGAATTTTTTTACAAGCTTTGTTATTGCTTTGTAATAAAACATTGAAGAATGATAGAAATAAAATAGTGGATGTCACTTGACATATCATCAAAGGATTTAAAGAAGCTGCATAGTTATATTTAATTAGTGACAATGAGGCTAAGGAACTTGCAAGAATTTCCTCCTTCTTTGTACTTCAAATTCAGGGTACAGTTTGCTCTCGACACCTATTGCTTTGTTACCAAAACATAGGACTTTCTCCAAGTGTAACTTCTTTTTACCCGGAGCCCCTTAATTGTCCTGGAATACTCTCAAAGCCTATTATCCTTATGGTTCATCAGCTACTGTTTCTGATATGCCAAAACCTGGGAGAGGTAACACAATTTTTATAGTGGTTCAGTTTTTCTGCCAAACTAGCTGTACCAAATACTGAGGGTCAGGGCCAGAGGAGAAATATCTCTCACTCATAGTTAACTAGATTTCCTACACCAGATGTCCAATGGCTACATAAGGATCCCACTGCTCCACGCGTCTTTCACCCATTCGGGCATCCATAATAGGCTCATGACTGGCTTTTCTTAATATCTTTGACCAAGAAAGGTAAAAGAGATTATCTAATTTGTGGATAAAAGTGACTGGCAAGGAAACTGAGATGGGGATATAAAAATTATAGCGTGTAAACAAACAAACAAACAAACAAAAGAATCATAGGATTTTAGAACTGGAAGAGATCTTAGGAATTATTTGTCCAGGGAACTTAAACTTGGCTAGCATTAGCGTCATCACGGGAGATTTCTCCCCCCATGCTAATAGTACTTCATTAAGATATAATTTACATACAGTAAAATGCACAAATTCCCCAATCCCCCATTACAATATCCCTATTGCAAT